CTCCGCATCTCTGGCCTGTACCCAAGTTCTATATGAATAAATAAGTAAATCTTTAAAAAAAAAAAAAGTAATCTACAGATTCAATGTATTCCAATAACAAAATTAATGGCATTTTCCCAGAGAAATAGAATATTGCTAAAATACATAGGATTCACAAACAAAACAAAACAAACAAAAAAAAAACCTGACTAACCAAAACTCTCCTGACTAAAAAGGGGACAAATGGAGGCACTAGACCCCCAGACTTCAAACAATTCCACAACCGTAGTAATAAAAACAATATGGCAGTGGAACAAAAAGAGACACAAAGACCAATGAAATCGAATTGAAAGTACAGAAATAAACCCATACTTGTATGATTAACTAACCTATGATACAAGAGCAAAAAAAATGCACACTGGAACAAGGAAAATTTCTTTAATAAGTACCCCAAATGAATGAAACTAGACTACTACCTCACTCTATACACAAAAACTAACTTAAAATGGATAAAAGACTTGAATGTAAGACCTGAAACCATAAAAGGAAGAAAACATAAACAACACACTCCGTGACATAAACATTAGAAGCATGTTTGAGGCATCATCTCCAGAAGCAAGGAAAACAAAGAAGAATATAAACAGCTGGGACTACCTCAAACTAAAAAGCTTTCTATTCTTACTGAATGGAAAAAAGTATTTGCACACCATGCTACTGATAAGGGGCTGATATTGAAGATTTACAAAGAGCTTATATATACAACTCAGCAAAAACAAACAACCCAATCAAAAAATAGAAGAGCTAAAAAGACAATTCTCCAAAGAAATGCAAATGGCCAACAGGCATATGAAAAATGTTCAACATCACTTATTATTATTAGGGAAATGCAAATCAAAACCACAATGAGATACCACCTCACACCTGTGAGTACAATTATATTAAAAAAGAAAAGAACAAATGCTGGTGAGGATATGTGTCAAAGAAATTCTCCTCAGAGCAGCTGGGAATGTAAACTTATTCAACCACTACAGAAAACTCTGTGAAGGTTCCCCAAAACACTCAGTGTATCTACCATATAGGTCAGTAATTCCACTCCTAGGAATCTACCCAAAGATCACAAAAACACTAAGCCAAAAGGAGATATGTATCCTTGTTTATTGCAGCACTATTTATAATAGTTAAGAGAAGGAAACAACCTAAATGCTTCAATTCAAAAGACTGGATTGAAATGATATGCTGCATTTATAGAATGGAATATTATTTAGCAATAAAAAGAGATAAAACTTACACTAGTTGAGGAAATATGGATAGAAATGCTAAGTGAAATAAGTCAAAAGGATAGAATGGTTTCACTTATATGTGGTATATTGAGAAGATAAACAAAGAGCCAGGAAAAAAACAAAACTTGCTAGCTGACCAGAGATCTGAGGCATACAGCAAGGAGGGGAGAGGGAGAAGTCAAAACAAGGGAAGGAAGAGTACAAGGGACTGTGATGATACGTCACAGATGCTATAATGATAGGAGAATTACTGGGATAATACAAGAGGGGAAAAATCAAATACTGTCTAAAAATTAATAATGATGTAAGAAAATAATTTTTTAAAATAGAAAGTTTATTGTAACTTGGTTTAAGTCACTAATATCAATAATTTTTATGACATAATTTCAGAGTGGAAAATATAATAAATATACAATGTTGCAAAAGTATTTTAAAATTAGAAAAAGAATTCTGAAAAAGTCTTAAATGAGATACACACTATTATAAAAACTTAAAAATTTCAAAACAAATATTGTATATATAATAGCAAAATTGAGTATTTAATGACTTGATCAATTAGCAAATTCAAAGGTAGTCTGTCTCTAATTTGGCTTTTAGCAACTAACTAACCAGAGAGACAATAATACTTTTGTAATGTGGAGAGAGAGATAAATTCTAGTTTGGGTTTGAGTGTTGAAACAGATGGTTTTATTGGGAAACAGTGGATATGATTTTATAGTCACATAACAGATCCTAGAAAGCACCTAATTGCAATAGTCAGCTTTCATGAATTCTATATTAAGTGAGTAAAGGAAACAAGGGCTAAAAACAATTTTCTATCAATATGGTGAGAGGTAATCTGGCAGCTTTAATTAAAAACAAAAGTATACCAAGTGTCCTACCTTATTTCTAAATAAATAAAAAATTCAGTTATTGTGGTATGATAAAATCTTCAGTTATTGTGGTATGATAAAATCCCTAGTTGCTATTTTCCCAACTAGGGACTAGGATTTAACTGTCATGATTTTAGAGTAAATATACATTCACATTTTAAGTAAACATTGCTTTCTAAATATTAAGGTCTGATATAAAATAAAAACATTCATAAACAGTTGAAAACATTTTTATACTATGTAGAATGATTGACAAACTGAGGCTAATTCATAGAAATGAAGATATATTCTTAACTAAAGCAAGGTTTAAAAAAAAATTAATTATGATAGCAACCTTGTTAGAAAATGTGGAATCCTTTTATAATGGTATAGATAAACACAAGTAATAAAGATTCAATAGTTTTGTAACTACCTATAATTAAATGATTTAGAACTATGACTATAACTTGACATTCTTAGTCTTGGTATTAATAATGCATGCTCCTCCCATTCAGTGATTTTTAGTTCTCTAATCATTATTCACAGGACCTTCAGTTATTATTTCCTCTTGAGATTTTTACATAATTACTTCTCAAGTTCTTAAAAAATAAATCATCATTTGTCTACTAACTTTTCTTGATGTTTAGTTTTGTTCATCACAAAAACTCTTTTAATGTGATGTTAGTATTTTATTTGGTGGAAACAATCACAAATATAAGAATCCAAAGCTTAAAAATATATAAATGTACCAAGAATACAGTGATACTTTATTACTTCAATATTTCATTCTGCCTTTCTGTATTAGCCTAGTAAATCTATCATTACCTAACTTGGTTTACTTTTCTGTAAGAGACTTTTTTCTAACTTTGACATAGTTGAAATACGTAAGTTATTTAGTAGTCCCCTGCCATTCTACTATAACATAAAGTGTTCTCCTAGAATGCAGTAAAATATAACTGAAAAACCACATGATCTCTATATACTGCATATGCACAGTGAGATAGGGAACAATACTGTGTTAAGATAGGATTCTGGGCCCTACCTGGTGGCGCAGCGGGTTAAAGCACAGCACTACAAAGCTAAAGTCACTTGAGCATGAGTTCAATCCCCACCCCAGGAGGTGACCAAATGGCGCGGCAGACCTCTCCTCACCCGCCCACTGCTCCCCTCAGCAGTGTTCTTCATGGATCGGCTTTTCTGCTCTGGTAAAGCCTCTCACCGCCCCTGCACTCTGGCCTGTACCCCAGTTCTGTGTGCATAAATAAATAAATCTTTAAAAAAAAAAAAAGATAGGATTCTAAGTGACTAAACATAAACAGACTCATTTTATTGGTAAGTGTCTTATGCCCACAGTCCAGTTATGAGCATCCATGATTACATTTGAATCTTGGTTAAAAAGAGAGAGAGAGAGAGAGAGAACTACTTTATGAACATTAAGGTACCCTCTGAATAATAGCCATTGTAAATTTTAAGTTCACAAAAGCTAGCCAGCTTTCATACTAATGTATAGTGTGAACATAACTGACATACTAAGAAACAAAGACTTCCCTCTCTCTCATTTCAGACTCATTAGGTTTATAAAGCTAATCTATGTGTTAGAACATTACAAAAAGCAAAATATTTCAACACTATCACATTTCAGGGTAATGTTGTATCAAGATTAAGGTGTTATTTCCCAGTCATATTCTAAGCAAGCCTATGATATTTTTTCTTTAAACCAAGCGAATAGTGTACCAAATATAGTAATATAATAAAGGGGTGGGGAGGAAGGAAAGATATTCCTGTCCATTAACTCTGTAATAAGTGCACAGAAGACCTCTCCCTCTTGGGTACCCTTAAAAGCATGTTCTTGCTTTACTAGATAGGGGGCAAAAAAACCAGGCTCATTTGTATTAAATTTGACTGTAGGCCCTCCCTGGTGGCATAGGGGTTAAGTCTCAACACTATCACCACTAAGGTCTGAGTTCTATACCAAGCCAGGGGGCGAATCCACTTGGCTCTGTAGACTTCTGTCCAGCCCACTGCTCCCCTCAGCAGTGCACTTCAATAAACATCTGCTTCCCACTCTGTCTCTAGTGAATCTTCTCACCTCCCACACCTCTGGCCTATATCCCAGTTCTTCTATGCAAAAAATAAGTAAGTAATCTTTTACAATAAACAAATTTGACTGTAGTCTTTTTATTTTTTTAAATCAATGAAATAAGCTAAGGTAAGAGGGAATAAAAAACTTCCTGGAAAAAATTAGGGATTACAAATTCAAATGAAGGTAGGTTTATGGAACAATTACATAATGTAATTTTACTCATGTGCAAGGAAAAATTTGATATTGTTTCTATATTTGCTAAAGATCAACAGTGGTTATAAACAAAAGTAACGAACAATTATTATCATTTTTATAATTTTCTACCTTACAAAGGTTTATCTATTTTATATTTACTTAGAATTTTTTGGTGCTTGATATAATTCAAACAAGAGGTCCTTTCTGAAAAAGCAAGGGCATATAAAAATAGTCACTAAATCTTTTTAAAGTCACATGAAATAACTAACATTTTTTATTTGTTGAACACTGAGAATCAGTGTAGTCATCCCATATTTTGCAAATGATAGATATACTAATCATAAAAATTATTTGCTAATTTTCTTTTTTTCTCAAGAGACTTCATTTTTGATATCTGTGCTACTATCCTAAATGAAAACTAAATATAAAAGTTGTAATTATGGATATTTGTGGTTTTTTTCTCATATTAAGGCAATATTCTTTTATGACATCAAATGGCTTCAATCTACAAAACTTAAAATTCATGTATAAAGTAATAAATATTTGACTGGGTACAGGAAGAAAAAAGAAAAAAGAAATAATAATGGAGGCATAATGAAATGTATTTCTTACCTTTCCAGAAACAATCTTTTCATAAATCTGAATTGGTTGGTCTGCAAAAAATGGAGGGTAGCCAGCTGCCATTTCATAGATTAACACTCCTAATGCCCACCAATCCACAGCCTTATTGTAGCCCTAAGGTAAACCAATACCAAATGTCAATTACAGATTCAAAGTGAACATAATCATATGAAATTTAAAAACACAGCAAAAGTTTCTAAGTACCCATTCAGGATAGAATAAAAGCGAACAAATGTTAATCAGGTCAGAGTTAAATTAAACAAAAGGGAAAATTTCCAGATATTGGAAGTTCATACTATGAAATCCTATTCAACCTTCCTCTTAAAATCATTAAGATTATATAGACAACACAAATTATTTGAAGTAATTTAATCACTGCATAACAACAGAGAATTGGACCAAATTATTTCTTATAGTCAATTATAGGTCCATAATTTTATGAATCAGATTTTCTAGAGCATATTTAGGAAGGTCAAAAGTTTGGAGAGAATATAATAGATACCAAAGTTCAGAGTAAATAATGGTGTTGACTTTGAAAAACTCTATTGTGTTTTCTAGGGACAATCCCATTCACTTTACAAGATCTTTCAAAGCTGAAGTTTAATTTAAATCTAATAGATGTAAAAAATCAGGTATTTCAGCTATCTATTGCTTTGCTTTTCATTTCTGAAAGGTACTCAGGAAAAATAACTAATTAGCAGGGTTTTGTAAGGATTTTATGAGAGGAAAGGAAATAACATGGATAAAAGCAACATTGCAAGCAAAATACACAATTTAAGGTTATTTTCAATTAGACATTTTTCATATGATGTTTACTAAAATTAAGAAGCATTTATATGAAAAGAAATGAAAAAATTAAAATAGCTATACAGGTTTTATCAAGTATGATTAATGTCAACTGGAATTGAAGGAAATAATCAAAAAACTCCAACTTGAACAGGGATCTTGCTAGGTCTTTTGGTCTTCCCTCAAATGGGTCCTTTATTACCTTCATTATGCTCCATATTCTAGGGTTTTATTAAAATTTTAGCTATACAAACTAATTTTCAAATTACTAGCTAAAAATAATAGTATAATATAGAGATTTTTGTCCTGCTTTTGTATTTCTTTAAATGGGAGAAACTAACATAATAGGAACAGCACTTTGCTTTCCTAATAGGAATGGACATCAATTTTGCTTTAACACTGTCAATTCAAATCACACAGTAAAATCAAAACATGGCTGTACCAGTCTGATTTTTTCCACAGTATTTTTTGATCCAGAGTTGAAATTCACAGAGATTATAATATTAGCAGATGACTCTAAATAATTATTTTAATACTTATACACAAATAAGTTCAAATTAATAATTTGAGTAAACAAAAGATATAAAATTAGACCAGCAAACTATTTCTATTGAAACCCACAGTGACACTTGCCTTATAGTTCTACTTAGTATAGGATGAAATTATAAATATACCTTGCTAAGGATTATTTCTGGAGCCAAGTATTCTGGAGTACCACATAATGTCCAAGTTCTACCTTTAACTCTTTTGGCAAACCCAAAGTCTGTGACCTATAAAAGAAAAAATATCTATGGACATTTATTATTTCACAACTTATTTACTTATTATATGTAGTTTTAAGTTAAAAATTGGGATGAAAATTAAAACCATGAAAAAAATTAAATCAATGTTATTGAGACTAATCCATGAAGGTCACCATTAGTAAAAGATTAAAACAACCCACACAGTTTTAGTAAAAAATGAGCAGTGTCAGCAGTGTTCCTTCAGTGCAGCATGTCCTCTGTCATCACTTACATTGTCAAAGTGCAAAAAAAGTGCATTGGTAACTGCATAATAGGGGATGGTTTCTCTCTTTTATAGTAAAGCAGAAACAAAACAGCGCCACATTCCAGCACAGGTGGCCAGGGCACCTTGGGCAGCGGCACTGCAGTGAGAGGGAATAGGAACTCTGGGTGCAGCCTGTCCAGGTTCAGACTCCGACTAGATCATTTATCTCCTCTGTGACCTTGCTGTGCCTTGGTTTCATTAGCCTTCAAATGAAGATAACAGTAGGACTTACATTTCACAGAACTATTAGGATTAAAGGAGGTAATATAAGTAAATCACTTTTAATAATGTCTGGCACTAAATGACTAATCAAAAAATTTGCTATTATCATTTCTTTATGGAGGAACCTGTGCTCAATTCACAGCTATAGATTATGTGGGATATAAACAGGTTCTATCTTTGATGGGAGTTTTAATTCTCTGTAACAGCAGAATCATGAGCTCTGTTTGAGCTATCAGGAAGAAATTATTCCCTCAAAGAAAAAATCCAATATTGTTAGTTGTGGCTAAACACATAAACTTCTTACCTAGTGCTTTCTCAAATATATTATATATATTGAATATATACATATAAAGTTCTTCAAGTCATACCTGGATATAACCTTGGTGGTCAATTAAGAGGTTTTCAGGCTTTAGATCTCTGTAGATGAGGTCTAGTGAATGGAGGTACTCGAATGTTAGCACTATCTGAGCTGCATAGAACCGTGCATGAGGCTCACTACAAGGAAACAAGACATTGATTTTCTGTGAAATAGGTTAGCACGCAGTAATTATACAAAATAATTAACATGGGGGAGAAGTATTTCAGAAGCAAAAAGTATTCTTTCTTTCAAACATATGTAGAGAATCTTATTTTCCATATATTTACTAGACCTCTACATTGTACTTTCCAATGCTGTGGTATATGTGGTATAACAGATATACGCATATAGAAAAAAATGCAAAAGAAAAATCTATCTCAAATTCTCATCTTATTTTAAATTATTATTGCCCATGTTAGAGACACTAATGTCTTCATAATTATATCTGATCTTGAGAATGACTAAAAAGCAATGTGCTCATTAGATTATCTACAAGATCATGTAGATTCCATGTATCTTTCTTAAAAATTTCAAGTGCTTGAAGAATTTCACTACACAGAAGTTCTTTAACTGCATCAATCTACAGATTAATCCCATTTTTACCAGCTCATATTACAAAAATTATATATGTTCACCACAGGAAAAAGTATCTTAAGATGTCGATAAAGAATGAAGACAGTCATAACCCCATCCAAAATCACTGATATAATCCTAGTGTCTGAATTTCCAAATCTTCCATTATGTCTATTTACAGATACATAAACATAGTATGTATGTTTGTTTTCATACACAGAGTTCTTGCAAGCAAAGCTTGCATAGGCTGACAGAACAGTGTAATTATGATGTCACATTTTGAATATTAATGCAAAGGATGTACTGATTGTCTTATCTGAGTTTCTATTTCCTCTCCTAATGTAGACTCTGAAATCCGTTGTTCTTCCTGATAAACTATAGTGAATTTTAGATTTGTGTCCTTAATGAACAGCCTTGTCTATGAATAGTTCTCTCAAGACCATTAGCATATATTTGATCTGGTAGCACTAGAAACAGAAATTCCCAAAAAGATTATATATGTTGCTTCTTTTACTTGTCACTTTATTTCCTAGGTCCTAACCTGATACACATCAAGTGCTCAGCTATCATTTGTTGAATGAGTATGTAGAGAAAAACATTTTAGGGAGTTTCAGACTCATACCAACAGTAATGCAACATTTGTATGACATTGCATACATTGCACTTTGTATGACAAGGAATGACAACATTGTAAGGGGAAAATGGAAGAATCATACTCACTTCCTACTAACCATGAAAACATTTTACCTGAGAGATTGCCTCTTATTTTCTCCATGTATCTATAAACATAAGATGAACTTAGCATCTTATAAAAGGCAATTATTCTATATTTATTTTCTTACACTGATGTTTCATGAGAAGGGCACAAACTAGATAATCAATAGTAAAAGTGTTGAAAGGTGAAGGTAAAATATTCTATAGGAAGACTTAATGCAACAGCTTTCAGTCTGGATAGATACTATTCAAAGAATCACTCTACTGATTTTTTTTTTAATACATGGCCAGTGGGTTGGAGAAGAAAGGAAATATAACTTAGAAGAAACAGGCATCAATGCTATGAGGACACCATAGCTAGCCTTGTATGATCTCAGGACCAAAATGGAAGGTTTTGAATTCACAACTAATATTTATGTGCTTTAAATACACACACACACTCACATTCACACTCTAGATAGGCTTTACTCACATTCACCCAATTATAAAACCCTATTTTTCTTTTTTCGGATATCTCAGTCCAAGACATCTGAATGTTGGTCCTCCTTACTTAATATTTAAAGCAACCAAAACTTGACAAAATCCCTTCCTGCATCTCCCTATTTAGACAGGCAAATAAACACTATCTAACAGAGGAAATGAGTTTTAGCACACTGAGAAAGGTGAAAGGTGAAGAATGGAAAAATTGGGCCCCCACCCTTGTTTCAAAGTACACTAAGCTATTATGACAATTTCTTCTAAGTAAAAAGAACGAATGAAGAGGAATAGATCAGGATTTAAAGAGAAGTACTCCATTCTTAAATTTGGTGTATCTCTAGGATGTTTAGTTTAGGAGAAAAAAAAAAAAAGAATCACTCCAAGTTTTCCAATTAGAGCCATGCACAACAATAACTCTGCATTCTTAAAGCCTTGAAGTTTCTAAGATAGCAGTTAACAAACTTTCAAGTGCATATGCAGTGAAATGAAAGGTCAAAAAGATAGTTTCTCAGTATGAATAATTTCTATCAATTTGCTTTCCTCCTAGAATCAAAACACTTACTAAAGAAATAGAGAATAGGGACTTGAAAAGTGAAGAAGTAATTCTGAACAGTAAACAAAGTATTTTTTTGAAGACTGGTTAATGTGTGATACTTCAGTGAAAAACTCTGAATTATCATAGGCTAATAGGAGGATTCTAACCTTTCTGAACAAGGATTGGTAAAAGAGAAGACAACAGGAAATAAAAGAAACCATTAAAGATAAATAAAATTTACATGCATTAGCAAGTAACTGACACACATTAGGTGTAACTAAAATAACTCTAATGTAGGACCATTTTCAACATAATTCTCATAATAATCTAAGTTTATCATCACTTTCTTATGCATTAAATTATCACCATCAATCCTTGTTTGAATTCATACTTAGGTTTTAATTATATTGTTATAAAATATAGTGAATGAAGTTGGACATTTCTTAATTTTAACTTCATTCTATTAGCTGTTATCAACAAATCATAATAGTTCATTGACTGTTATATACCAGTAAAGACAAAATAATTTAGTGACTATTTTAATAACTGTGTGACCTTATCAGCAACAATCTAGTGATAAAGTACAAACTCTTTTAAAATTACATACATATTTTTTAAAACAGCACAGCATCAGTTTTGAATACCTATTTATGCAAAACAAATTTTCATAACCTCAGCTTAATGATACCATCTTTTCTATATAGTACTTTCTTACCTTCATCCTTACACAAATTCTTCCTCAAAATTAGTGCCAAAATATTTAAATCAGTGTACTGGATTTTTAAAACTTAGTTTGGTATGCCCAATTTTTAATGTTTCATCTAATATAACTAACAGATTTCTAAATTAAGCAACAAGTTGCAAGCATTGACAATTCATATAAGTTAAAATAGTAAGTTAAAATTTCATTTAAAACAAACACACAGGATATAACATTTAAGGAAAAAGCATTAGTTACCTGAACCTTCCAATTCTTCTTAGATGTGAAAACATTTCACCCCCAGGGACATACTCCATAACCATGTATAAATTAGAATTATCCTATGAACAAATAAAGAGAATAAATACAAATAAGAAACCCATTTTTTTATTTCTTAAAAAAATTAAAATAATACCATGTTCAACTAGAAAAAGACAAATAATACAGCTGACAGATTACTAGTATTAGGGACTAGAAAATAAATAGAAAACTTTTCTATACTGGGGCACTTTTATATATTTTCAGTATAAATTAGTCTGGTATTTGGTTTGAGTGTTGTTTCACAGAACAATAATTCTTCAACAACTGAACACTACACTAGTGACTTAACATTAGCATAGTAAACAAAGCTGTATACAAAGGTATAACAGTTAAGAAACAATTTGAAAAAGTTAGTAAAAATATTTATATTTTATGTTCTAAATCAGAAGAAACAATAAAACATACAAGTCTTCATGATATGAAGAATAAAGGAGGATAATAAAAGTTTAAAATATTTCATGATAATCAATATTGCAGAGATGCCAACTATCATTACAAAGAGCTAAGAAGCTGTTAACTTACAATTTAAATCTTACACATCTTTATGAGACACTTTAGCAGAGGGCCAAAGATTAATATAAGTGAAAAGAGTAGAAAACAAATTACTACATAAAAGATGATGATGGGATTGTGGCAGAAAAGGTTCAAAAGAAGTATAGGTATATGGTTATGTTCATTTGCATGATACTAAGAAATTCTTAATATCACTATGATGTCTGATAAAGTGAAATATTTGATTTTATAATACTATCACATGAAGAATTACACATTAATTAATCTTCCCCAAGAAGAGCCAAAACCTTTTAAAATTTTTAAAGTTCATAAGCACAAGAGGATTCAATTACATAAACTCTAACTTGATTTCTTTTGGGTTTATTCATTTTCTTCTGGTTTAAAAACCCGTTAATGCCACATACTTTAAAAAACACATGAGGCCAAAAACATTTTATTTGTATATTAGAACAATTTACCTTAAAAGAATACTCCAGTCGAACAAGAAAAGGAAAATTCACTGCCTGTAATATTCTTTTCTCGTTCAGTGTATGCTCTATTTGCTTCAGTTTAACAACCTGTAATTGAGAGATAAACAAATTTAAAATATTTCAACAAAATTTAAAAGTTATTATGATTTTAAAATGAAAATATAAAATGTTTTACCTCATATAATGAGAAGTAACTTATTTAGGAACTTCCTTTATAAAAATTTCTTCCCTGGGCTCTCCCTGATGGCACAAGGGGTTAGGACACAGCACTGCAAGCTAACCGCAGCTGCTTCAGTTCAAGTTTGACCCCTGGCCCCAGAGGTGACCCACATGGCGTGGCAGATCTCTCCTGACCAGCCCGCAGCTCCCCTCCACAGTGTACTTCACCAATCTGCCTTTTCTGCTCCCCACTCTGTCTCTGGTGAAGCCTCATACAGACCCCCTGCACCTCTGGCTTGTACCCCAGTTCTGTATGCATAAATAATCTTTAAAAAAAATTTCTTGCCTATATATTCTAAAAATGGTATATTTGTATCCTTTTATGTTTTATGACTAAAGAACAATTAATTAATTTTTTAAGAAAAATAACATATTAGGGACTATTCAGGCCATAGCATTTTAATGACAAGTTTAATCAAAAATATAAATTTGGAGCATTTTTGGTGTTGTGCTACCAATATAAGATTACAAAATGACTTACTCTCTCTGAAATATAATTACCTCATGTAGAAAATTAGCAAGCATCAATCACTTGAGTCCCATGCTCAGACTATACAAATTAGGAATGTAGAACTCAAACATGAATTGAGTTGTTGGTGAGAGTACTTAGGAGTAGGGTATGGAACAAGAACAGGAGAAGGTTGCCAACCAGAGATTGGAATTAGCAAGCTTTAAAGAGCAGATAGAAAAAACAAAAAAACAAACAAAAACAGGAAAAGACACACAAAAAAGGATAATCTAAAGACTTATGGCATGATCAGCAAAGCACGGGGTTCTGAAAGTCCAGAAACTTTAGATAGCTTCAAGGGAGTGGTCAGCATGGTCACACACTTGAGAACAGTCACCTAAAATAGGGGCTTTGGTGGCAGGAGTGGTGACACATATGTTCCTATACCAGAGACAGTGTTGTAAACCCCTGTTACCTTAGTAAGAAAGAAAATACAATTTAAAAAATAAATGTAGAGTGTACTTGGCTTGGTGATTAGTCACTTAGTGGAGTAGCTTGAGTATGAGATAAACAAGGAGGCGGCTGAATTGTAGATTTCAAAAGAAACGTGGGTTGAAAACTGATGGAAAGTAAGCTAGTAGATAAACATTTTTAAAGAAGAAAAGTTATTAGTTCCTCCCTGGAAGCCTAGGGGGTAAGTCTCAGCTTTATCACCCTTCTAGTCTAAGTTTGATCCCCCCAACCAGAGAGCTAACTGACCTACCACAGCAGACCTCAGCCATCTCACCAGCTGCTCCTCTTAGATCTATTTCAATAGATCTGCCTGTACAGATTCTCACTCTATCCCTGCTGAATCCTCTCCCTCCTCTCTCCCCTAATCCAAATCTCTGCCCTTCATTCCAGTTATTCTATGCAAAAAAATCCATTAAAGAAAGTTAGAAAACATATGTGAACAAAGATAACAAAGATGTACAATTAGATATGTGCATGTATGCATTTAATTTTAGGGACATATAGATCACCACACCTTTTCAAGTTAGAGGTTAGTTTTATTTTGTTTGTTTGTTTGTTTGTTTTAAAATAGAAGTTGGGCTGGAATCTCTAGACCAGACTAACAGTGTGCTCTCCAGTACTGTAGCCACTCACCACATGTGGTTTCCTAATACCTGAAATGTGATTGATCTAAATGGATGCATATTGTAAGTGTAAAATACACATCAGGTTTTAAAGATTTCATATGAAAGAGAAATACCTCAGTGATTTATATTAAGCATAAATATTCTGGATGTACTAGGCCTATATAAGACCTAACATTAAGTTAATTGCAACTATTTCACTTTACTATTCAGTTGGCTAGTATAAAATTTCAAATAATATTATGTAGCTCATATTATACTTCCATTGGACAATATAAGCCTACCTCCCTGTCTGTAACCTTGACTACTTACTTGCTCAGTACTATTTTTTCTACATTTTCCTATCTATATAATAGTAAATCAAAATTTCATGCTTGGGAACATAGTATCTATAAAATGTAAGTATTTGTGACTTTCTGTAACCTTCCCCTATTGATTACTAGGAAAATAAAAGCTTAACATTTAAAGTCTGGGCAATTCAGAGGTCCAGATTAATTTATATATCAATAATTGATAACTACTGTTCTTTATAACATGGCTTCAAATTTTCCCTGTCTAAATTGACATTTTAAATTAGTCAAAATCAGCCATGTTAAACAAGAGAGCTTCTATTGTAAATTAAACTAAATCACAAAATAAAATTACTAAATTTCTGTTTCTTCAATCCAAGAATCTGTTTCTTCAATCCAAGGATTTTGTTAGTAAATATATACACAGAGTTATTATGAATAATTATTGAAATAATAATGTAACCCCCTATACAAAAATTGACGTGCAATCATATAACCACAGAAAACAACAATGAAAATTAAATGAAACAATAAAATTATTTGAAATTGTCAATGGATAGTTATTACACTACATCTGTTTAATAGTTTAATGATAAAACTTAGCTCACCCTTCAGAGAAATAACAACATACTAACCTTCTGCTTATCTAGGATCTTCATGGCATAATACTGTTCAGTGGCTTTATGTTTTACCAGCATTACTCTTCCAAATGAGCCAGTTCCAAGGGTTTTTTTCCTTTCGAAATCCTCAAGTCCAGCATTGTTCTATGTATATGAAAAATAAAATAATCTTCAAAAATAAGAAATTCTCGTAAGGAGTTTATGATGTTGTAATAGATTCAGTGATACATAACTTTAAAAAATGCAAAATACATCTTGAAGTTCAGGTGACTGACATTTGAGAACAGAATATATTGAAAATAAAGTTAACAGAAAGAGAGAGACACATCTGGGATGTTAAAGGTTCTATTCAATATGAATTACTAGTATTATACTTTTAACTCTATTAGTCTCATATTTTAATAATTAAAAACCTTCCACATGTATACTAGCAAAGAAAATCACAGTAGCCATAGAATTTTAGTGCATTTGTAATGAAGATAAGCTGAGGAATCAGAGTCCTTTTGCTTTTATACAAGCTTATAGAACTAGATAATAGCATGAGAAAGCCTAATGGCTTTCATTCTCTGATATTATAATAACCAGTATTGCCTAAAACAATAATAGTAAGGAAAGAAGAGTTCCTCATTTCCACAAAGATAACCAAAAGTCAGAATCCTAGAACAATAGTCAGTCTTTTTCTCCTTGAATAGATGCTTTGTTATGAGCAAACATCTTTGTTTGGCTTTGACTATTGCAAAAGAACTAGAGGCATCAATCTATTGAATTTGTTGCTGCCACAACAAATGAAAATTAGTAGGAACAAATTATGTGCTAAAAGAGCAACAAGTAGTAATTGCTGCCCCATTTGCTTAATAGGCTTTCATCACGAAGATTGTGAAAATCTTGGAAAAATATTTCGAAGGACCAGTCTATACAGTGTTTAGCTGGAGACAAAATGTGATACAATGTGATTCCTAATTAAGAGCAGAACCTGGATGGCTAGTGGAGTTCACTCTAGTTGGATCAAATCTCTACTGCAAATCAAGCTTGCCTTTGGAGACATCATATCCCATAGAATGAATACAAAAAGAATAAGCAACAAATATTTTTTACTTATAAGACTTGTTTTAACCATATTTTTATTGTACATTTGTAATCACAATAAATTGCCATGAATCAATATTAATGCAAAATGAATGAGTCTTTATAATTCTGATTGATTTAATTTTTATTTTATCAGTATCTGGTTGAAATATTTAATATAGTTTCCAAGTAAGTAACAGAACAAACTTCATTAACAGACAACCAAATTTGCTAGTCACTGCTTTTCATACAAATATGCCATCTTCCCTACCTCCCTTTTAATGTCTTATATGTATTACATGATGTGTAACTTTTTGTATTCACTAAAATGACTGATATGTTTTAAATTATAGGTGATGCTCTTGGTCTTGATAATGATGGCATTTCATATGAAATGAAAAAAATGTTGAAATAAAGATTTTTGTGCTGGGAAAAGTTTTTCAAAACTCAGTTTACTATTAAAGTTCACTAATAATTTTAATTTCAGAAAGATATTTCTTGGCCAGAATAAACAGCTCTTTTTACACATTCTTTTTAGATATTAGTTGAGATTTACAGTACTTAATTCATACACAATTCACCCCATCAAAATGTTTATAAAGGACTGCTGTGTGCTTGGCATATATCATAGCCAGGTGTTTGTGATTAAGTATTTGAAACGCACAATAGGATCCCTACTGCTATAATTAATTTTCAAAAGATATCAAAGGCATAAATCAAAATTGCTGTAATGTTAGAAAATATCAAGAGTGCGCAGCAACTTAGAATCAGACTAAAAATTTATAATCAGGTATTATACTGAAAATCAGTTCTTTCTCCAGTTCAGGTATACATAAAGCTACTAATATATAAAAACAACAAGGCAAAATTTCTATGTTAAAACTTATGGAAGTTTACTTAGGCAAGATTCATTAATTATTTAACACAGGAATTTTAAATAGTAGAAAATTTTTAAGTATTCATACCTGAGCAGGGTTTTCCCACTTTTTTAAAAAGTCTTCTTTGGCTTTAGCTAGAAATTCTTTCACTGAAAAGACATAAAATGTTGTCTTGTAAAAATATGTGCATTATACATAAACATACTTGTTTATACAACATACCTATATTAAATATGACTGTCATGGAATATATCTCTTCACAGCCATAACACGCTAGAGAGCTACTGAGATTCTCTAAATAAGCAGCAAACATTTTCTCAAATTTCTAAAAATATGTAATATGTTCTATGTGGAGCTCACTGTGGTAATTTCAAATCTAATAATAAAAATACTGTTCCTGAAAATATACTTGAGAGGAATATTAAAATGTTAGCAATCAGTCTAGGACAAAATGATGATTGTAATAGGCCCCAATGGTATTAACAGAGCCTTTAAACACAAGAACCAAAAACATCTGGTAATTTGTGGAGTTTCAAGATCACTGACTTTGATAAAGGGCTGATTTCAGGTATAAGGATTTAGGTTATTAGATTTGTGTTCTTTGTACTAAAGGTAGAGGGAAAACGAAAAACCACAGATGGACACATAAAGGGTGGTCCGTAAAAATAATAACAAAATACTACACACACACACACACACACACACACACACACACACACACAAACCAAAACATCTTTCTAAATTTGGAGAAAACTAAATGTCTGAATGCCTAACTTTAAATGAACACAAAGTAAAGCAACTCAAACCAGATATTTACATAGTAACTACTAACAGTTACACTACTTTACAGTGCTGTAGTTTGAAGATTTAGGTTTGTTAAATAATTAATTATTCATAAGGATTGGCTTTTTCATTGTCTCTCCAGAGAGATGTTAACAATGGCTTCTACTTACAAAAGGACTTCAGGTGTTTGAAAACATAATAGGGAAACATTTTTCAGAGGTATAAATGACATTAATAAATGTATTCTTGTTTTATAGTTAGCTGTGAGAACAAAATCTGATTATATAAGAATAATTTTAGTCTTTTATTTTGTTCAGAAAGTTCACAATATTTCTCCAAAACCAAAATGGATAAAGGAGAAAATAAAAAATAGGATTTAAATGATGTTGAAATAGTAAGACTAGTCAAAGTGAAATCAGAGTTCACACTGGTATTCATTGCAAAAATATTAAGAGTGATGATGATGGTGAAAAGACAAAATTAAAAGTAGAAGTGTGGGGTTCACAAATTCTTTAATAAGGTCATCTAGTGAAGTAGTAGTATTAAGATGAGGCACTTTAAAATATATATGATTATTTCTTCCCTTATCTCCAGTGAAATACTTCTGGCAAAACACTCTTACTAACCAAAAAAGCCTGTTAGAATTCTAAAAGATTTGAGATCTCAAAATGGTGATGACAAGCACTAAAAGCAGACAGTTTTAAAATAACATCAGAAAATGCATTTCTGAAGATGTTATTTTACTACTTAATACTGTCACTTGTATTTTGCTATAAAATACTTTCAAAATACTTATTTTAGAAAATTTGAGAAAAATTTTTAAAATTGGAATCTTTCCATTGTATGAAAATTTCATCCACCAAAATAATGAATCAAATAATTGTACCTACTCATGCAAATATGATCAAATTTCTTTTGGGGGTGGATTTGAGGGTGGAAAATTCTTAAATTTTCTTTGAGTTTAGGTTAGCTCAAATCATCCCACTTCTAAAAGTTAATGTACTAGTTACAATTGATATAGGGTGGTTTTATAAAAAAAATTCTGGAACAGACATATCTGCATATAGTATAGACCTGGAAGTGACAACTAGAAAATAAAAACATAATTTATTCTGAAGTACAACAGTGCCTTGTTGATCTCCCAAATATACTTCTGATTTTTTTTTTTTGGAAAAATACTTATTTTCTACTTATAGAATTTGTACATGAATGTGCAAAAGAAACCCTAGATGCCTGCAAGAATACAGATAACTTGGAGAAAAGCAAGAGAATCAGGGGAGGAAAAAAATAGCCTTAACATTCTGTTTCAGTACTCGTATCACTTCCTGCTTAGTGAGGTTAAAGAAAGATGCAACTAGACAGAGTAAGGAGACTGGCAGCATTTGCTAAAGATGGTAAGCTAAAAGAAATTTCCATTTCCTATTTGGTAAAAAAAAAATTCAGGTACTATGTAATTTCAGTCACTAGTAGGATATTCAGGAAATTCTTTGAAATAGTCTCTGTACTCATCAATATTCTGAGTTTACTATCAAGTAACACTGTAGAAAATAAATAACAATTCTCATAAAGTGTCATGGAAATTATTAGAAATGGACATGAGTAAGTTATTAAATTTTATGATTTGAACAAATAAAGAGATTCCCTTTTAAAGTAAGGTTATGTTATGCATTAATTACATCATCCATTACATATTCCTTGAAAAAAATTGTTTCTCTAGTACTTTTTGTCATGTAGTATTTACACAGACATGTAATCTCTAGTTTATGTATAAGCACTACTTAGATGCAAAGAAGATGGTTAAAGTCATAAAGTAAACCAAAGTGTAGATCTCATAAATATGAATACCAAAAATATTTTATTATATGCTAGATTATTAATAACTGCAAAACAAGCAATCGAGAAGCACATGCTTTGCTTTCAAATTATTTTTAGACAGTGGTGAATCTAATTTTCTAAATGCTTTTCTCTAGATATTTTTAAAATTCATATCCACTGACATAAGGTGTTGGCAGTTAATTAATAAAGTAAGTGGTTGGAGAGACAACCAAACTAAAACACTGCAGCACATTCAGTCCAGAGTTCTCTATAAAAGCATATATTCAGCATATATGTCAGCAAGTTTTTGGTTTTCTTATTGTGTTCTAATATATAAATCATAGCTATATTTAACCACTTAAGTCACTGTGACATCCTGAAACAATCATAGGTTTTGGGGCTTGGTACACTGAATTAGAGTACTGGTCCTAATATTTCTTAGTTACATGTCATGGGCACCTAGTTACAAAGCACCTAACAGTAATTAGGAACTTTCCTTAGGACAAAGACCTCAATGAAAGATTTTTCTGCCATTATATTTTATTACTGTTCAGTAATGGAGCAAGGTAGGAATTACAAAATGGAGAATGACACTCCAAAAATTAACTCAGTGTCTTCCCAATATTATATATTTCAATATTTATTTTCAGAATTTATTTTCAGAATAAATTGATTCATGATCAATCTGTATTATTTAATGTCTGTCACACTGTATTCTAAAGAACTGAACATTCCAAAGAAATTATATATATATATATATATACACACACACACACATATATATATATATATATATATGCACCTAAGGTTATCTGTAGGAATGTTTATCAAAATAGGATGATGAAAGAAACAAAGACAATTTGTATGCATTTCTACAAGTACATGCAAATACAACTTAAGTCTTAGCCTCAAAATATTTTGAATGCATTTCTACACAGGACATAGTTTAAAAATTAGGAATATTTATAAAAAATTCAAGTATGGCATACCTTTGGTCCATGTTATTCAGACAATTCTACAATGAATAAGAATGTTTCACTAATTACATTTAGTAAATTCATCTATTAGGCATTTATTGGATTCCAGATAAACTATATTATTGTTAGCTAAACAAGATCACTCTTATTATAAAGAAGTATATTGTTAGTTATAGTATGCCATTATTTAATTCTTCAAAGAGGCTATTGTTCATATTTTGTAAAAAGAGCTTAAGAGTTCTACTATAGATTACAACTAACCTAGATGTTAAGGTCTATAGTCCACTTGTCATGAAATAATTGTTGCCCCCTTCCTTTACACCCCTTTTACATGAAAGAGCAACTTTAACCTTTACTTATAGATGTCTGAAAGAGTGAAGGGAAAAAGCAGAAAATAGGACAAAATAGAATATGAACTTCCTAATGCCCAAAATTTTAGTGTTTTTTTTTTCATTCTAAATTTACAATAGTATATTTTCTTTCAAAAGCCATCCACTAACCTGGTTTGCCTTTTGCTACTCTGTGTAATGTCTACTACTTCAAAGTGCTATTCCTGTTGTTTCTAAGATATCACACATGAAAGGTACAAAAAATCATTAATATAAAACTAAACAAACCATGTCATCTATCAACTAAAATATTTCATTCAAAATATGTTATAAAACTTTACAAGCAGTATAACAACTAACAAGTAACCAAACAGAAGTTCTAAAGGTAACATTTGTTTTATTAAAATATAGTTGCCTACCATATACTTCTGAAGAGGAGCAAGCTTGCATCCAAAAAATAAATTGGACAATGATTAAATGACACTCATATAAACAAAAATATATTAGCATGAAGTCACTTACACACATTTTCTCTGAATATGATGTAGAGAAGTAAAGCCATGTAGAAATTCAATTAAGACATTTGAAAATTAAATGGTAAAAAGAAGCAAAATCAATGATTACATTCAGTGCCAAAATCAATACCATTTGAAGTCTGTTTTTTTTTAAAGAGACAACTAACAACTCACAACAGCTTTAACAAAAACACCCATACTATTAAGTAGCATGTACTGAAATGTGTTATATAACTATTGCAATAACATCTCTGGATTTCTGTTATTCAAACCTGTACAGTAGAAAAGAAACTGAATTATAACACTTTATTAACTTTCTTCTGAAAGACATCAGTATATCAGTGTGTTTAGGCATTTCGTTTCCTTAGTGCTGGTTTATAATTTTTCCACAACAGTTACCGAGCATGGTATAGTGGTGCCAAAAACTCAGATTCTGGGTAAACTGTGGAGAATAAACACATGTCCACTGTTAAGGAGATGAGAAGATCACAGGGAGATGGAAGGACCATTATGAAGGATGTGACAAGTACTAAACTAAGGAAATTAAAAAGTCCTATGAGAGCTTGAAAGAGGAAATTCTTGGGCAGTAAGACAAGGTATAATAGGGATATAGCATTTGTGCCAAATTTTGAAGGGTAAAGAGTTCCTCTGGCAATTAAAGTTGAGGAAGAAGACATTCTAAGCTGGAATGAGCTTGTACAAAGGCATGAAGGAAGACACATGGTTTATT